GGACACCCATCAGATGGTCGACATCGGACGTCACATTACCGAGGAGGTCGATAGACACTAATTCACTCTTAGATCGAGTCATTCAGACTCGACCAGAGTGGGGGGGACTAGATGATATGGGATATTATACCCACGAGGCTGAGCCGGTCTGTTGACCGGTCGAGGAGGTCATATTATGAGGAAGCCAAAGAAATCGAGCAATTAACTAGTCGACCAAGCAAGGTTGTCGACCAAACTATCCTTCGACCAGATACGCGATCGAGCAACTTATTCGACCTCAACAGGTCGATTACTCCGAGGACTTAACACCACGCTGTTCGGCCTAGTCATAGGCGCGTGAAAGAAGCCTCTGACAGAATTCCAGGATAATATTTACCCCATGTGCAGGGGGACACGTGTCGAGAAAGCAGTGGTGGATAGTGATAACCACCTCTGATAGCCTACCCCATGTGCCGGAGGACACGCGTCCAAAGAGGATTGGTGCAGGCGATAGTGGAGACGGCCGCCTCTGACACACGCGTTTGGTGTGTACGGACGGGCAGCTAGGGCAGACAGCTCATCAAATCCGGGCAGCCCTAGGTCAGGTATCTCACCCCTATATAAAGGGGGTGAGCCTTTCTTCTTCAACACGATCATTCTATTACTCTTGAGAATTGATTGAATACACACTGACTTAAGCATCGGAGGCTCTTCACCGGAAAACCCCTCTGGTGTGAGAGTTCTTTGTAGGTATACGACGTCAACCGGCGAGAAGGAAGGCGATTACTCAAGTTCCAGCCGGTCGAGGAGTTTTGTGTTACCAATGTGGCACGCCCGGCAAGACGTGCCTAAACACACAAGTCTAACCCAATAATCTCAATACGACTACTCCGGCAAGAGTAGTGATCCAAGCACAACGTATATAATGAAAGTACAGAAATACAAATCGAAATCGAGACGTTGGACCTTGGAAAATTTTCGAGAAAAACGGTCGGAGTTCGAAAATAGAGAAATATAGAAAAATCGGAGATCCAGTTGCCGGAAAAAGTACCAAACGAAAGGAATCGATGGCATATAACAAGAAAAGCTCAAAAATACTAACC